AATCTTTAGAAAAACTTTCGTAGCTGTGCCACTCGCCTATAAACTACAAACTAATTTTTTATTCTTTAATAATTTTTTTTTTTATTTTTCGGTATTTTTTTCATTACAACTAATTCAATTAATTTTGGTTTTGTTTAGTTTTTAAATATTTTACAAAATTCAATTTAAAATTCATTTTACTTGACTAATCTTTATTTTCTTTATTAATTTTGTAATTTTAAATTTATTTTTTATTCATCTCGTAACTCTCTCAAAAGCTAGTCAGGTTCTTAATTGAGTTTCTAATGCTTGGGTTTATTTTTTTGTTGGGCTATTTTTTTCCCTTTTTTTTTAAACATATATATCTATATGTGTGTGTATATATATAGCAACATTTTAGTTGAACTTAGTTGAACTTCTTATTTGTTAAACCAATTAGAATACTCGTATTAACATATTTTTTATATGTTACCTATATATCCATCACACACATAAAAAAAAAAAAAATGCACTCACACACACACTCACTTTCCCACACACACACACACATACTCGCATACCCATACACAGAATCTTTTGCCTCTTAGCCAAGTCTGTCGCAATTTCGAAAAGATCTCAACTCAAGAATGGCAAATGTTGTCAAAGCTTTATAGAGCTTAAAGCTTACTAGCTTTTTCATTATTCGCTCATGCATTGCATATGGATGTTGTACGTCTTTTGATATATGTATTTCTATATAACTTCGATTCGATTTCGATTTTATAACAAAAAATTGTAGCTACCTTATTACAATTGAGTTGCTCTATAGATTTTTCATAAACAATAAATATATATATATGACTTTAGGAGGCGTGGCAAATCTGTAAACACATTTTTGAAGCAAGAATTCTGAAATTATCTAATGTCAAAGCTTTCAGAGGGCTGTAACGTCGTTTTGATTATATAAATCTGAACTGTGAGCGAGTATTTTGTGCAGTCGAACATGACCGACTGTCATTAGCAGACTGTTTAGCTTAATTTGATCTATTATATTTCTATTATATTCAACTCTAAGCATTCTCTATGGCTTAAGAAGCCTTGCTCTCTCTCTTCAGCTCTTTACCTTTTCTCTCTCTTTCTCTTAGCAGACTCGGCTTGAATTATGGTTTTTGATTTATTCACTCCATTTATTCATTCATTCATTCATTCATTCATTCCTTCATTCATTCATTCATTCATCCCTTCATTCATTCATTCATTCATTCAGTCTACTATTCATTCAGCTATTCCCTCATTCATTCTGTTCTCCACTTTCACACTCGCTTATATTTGAACTCTATGCTAGTTAATGCCAATCCCAATTACTAGATAGATCATATGCTTAGAAAAAAAAAACACTATTCCTATATTTATATANTATATAATATTAATTTTTAATAATTGGAATATTTTTGTATAATTTAAGACCTGTCTTGAAATTTCGGTCCCTCATATCAAAGTTATTAATTTTTTAAAGGTATTGTGTTTGTTTGTTTGTTAAGGAAACCAGTTCATACACGGGAAAATATGTTTGATCCTGTTCTGTTTGTTGTTCTGTTTGTTCTGTTTGTTGTTGTTGCTTTTGTTGTTTAGTTGAGGTGTTGAAACCCAAATGTGCATGTTAAATATGGTTAATAAACCATTAAAGCTGGGCATACTCTACTTCAAACTCTAAGTCTCTCCTGTTTTCTCTCTCTCTCTCTCTCTCTCTCTTTCTTTGTCTGTCGTTGACTGTATACCCTGTACCCATGGCAAAATGGGCATATTTGTTACATTCGTTTATGTTGTGTGCGTGTGTCTGTCTGCGTATGTGTGTGTGTGTGTTTTTTATTTTTTTTATATATTTTGTGATAAAGCTATTTTGACAGCAGTCTTGAACGTTCATTTCAATTTCAATATTCAATATTATATAAATAGGTATACATTTTTTTTAAGGGCTTCACTTTCCTTGTCGCTTTAGGCAAATTTATTTGTTCATTCGTATATATCCAGATCATTGTTGAAGCTATCGTTGGACTTACTGCAGTTGGGCATAATTTTATTTTTAATATTTTGTTCATATTTAGTTTTACTCAAGCCAAAAAATCAATTAGAAATAAATAAAAACAAATTTGCTTACATATGTATATAATAAATTTACTCTGGCGCAGCCAACTTCATGCACACACTTTGCCAATTTAGCTTAGCGTTGCCAGACTCTTAAGAAAAGCTGAAGCGAAACTAGAAATTGAATTTGATTTTGCAGCTGTTTGTTTAAGCAAACTAATTTGGAATGTTATTCAAATTTAATCAAAATTTTATTAAATACTTAAATCAAATTTGTTTGGCTCTAATTGACGCATTTCTATTGCAGCGCTTGGTACAGTTTTTATTATTTTAGCTAAACGAGTCTCATTTTTTTTTTTTTTTTTTTTTTTT